TCCGCACGGTCAACCTTGCTGCTCGTGTGCAGCTCGCGCGCTCGTGAGTCGTGCATCGACAAATCGAGCCCGACTTTCGCACGACCCGTATACACCGGTGCTCCCCGCCGTGGCGTCGCAGTTCTTCGTCTAGGCTTCTCGTGACTTACCGGTACCCTCATGGTGCGCCGCGCTGCGCCACGGCGTCGTTGTGTGGACCACGGCTACGAGATCGCCTAGACACGGCGGACGGGAATCTCCCGGAAAAATCGGCGATAAATGCGGATGCTCGCGGCCGGCGAGAGGGACGAGAGGTAACACGTAAACGCAATATACTCCCGTCCAAGTACGGCGAGAGACGAGCCGCGATGCAGGCACTTGGCCGATGCACTTGAACGTGCAATACGTGCGCAAGTCGTGATGCGGAGAGATAGAGACGGAAATACGATGCGGCGAGAAGAAAATATATCCATGCAGATGTCTTTGCTTTCTACACGGAAAGAATGATTTTGCTGAAATATCTAAAAATTTAGCTGGATATAACTATACACGGAGAGAATTTTTCGTTATTTTTTACCGCAAAATTCATTACAAATTTCATCATGTTTGGTAATAAGCTTGGGACAACTTGACAATAATGAAATATTATCAGTAACGATAGATTTTTTTAAATATACAAGAGACTTTTTATAAATGATGTAGTAAAAATTATAATGCAGATTGTAAAATGTTTTGAAGTGAGTAAGTTCTAGCGTAGCTAGAGACACACTCGACAACGAAAATAACCGATAAATATCAATTACTATGTTACATGGTAAAATTATAAGCGACTAAATCAGATTAAAAATATCATGCTGTATGGTAAAAATTGTATAAGCTATTTTATGTATTCATGACTACTTATCATCTATTCTTTTAAAATAATAAAGAATCATAAACTGCGTAACATATTTTAAAATGTTGAAATTTTACTATATCCTTTAGTAAAATTAATAAAATATATTACATATCTTATTATGACACGTATTAGTAAATTAAAGAAACTCATATACAATTCTTTGAAATACTACGTTGTCCCACTATTATCATGATTTTCAGGCTAAATTCTAAGAGAAAATTCTCTCCGTGTATATCTGAAAAGAATTTTGTTGAACAGCAACTTTTTTGTGCGTGCCTTTGCGTCGCGTGCCTTCAATCTATAATGCAATTATTATTTAGGTTTTTCGACAGTTTTTTTGCGAGTGAACAATAAGTGCTCGAAATTTTTGAAGATATATTGTTTTGATAAATTTTTAACGCACCAACCCAGTTTTTATAAAAACGTTTCGGATTCTAGCTACCAGTGCATGTTTAAGGCATTAGCGTCTCGTCTTGCAGGGATGCAATGAATAAATGTAAATTCAACCTCGTAATAATTGCTTTAGGAATATAGCTCACCGCTGTAATCACTTTAATAGCCGCTTTTACCGTGGCGACGAGACGGGATGCCTTTCTAGTCGCGGTGTGATGAGCGCTGTTGCATTAATGACGCATTTTACGAGAACGCGAGAAGCTCTGTCGTCAAAAAGGCAAGGGAAGTCCATCCGTTCATTTAATCGGCCGCATACAAACGAGTTGAGATACTGATGATAAATTATTTCTACAAAATAACTCATTAACACTTTCACTGCCAAGCTGATTTTAGCATTAAGCTTGATAAATTAGTAAATTATTTTGATACTTTATTGTTACTTATTTATTTGATACTTTATTGTTATTTTGATACTTATATATCTCGACATAATTATACATAATTTTTAATGTTATATTTTTTAATATTTTAAATATTTAGTAAATTATTCTTAATTAGATAAATAAAATCGTTATTTACACGGAAAGAACAATTTTGCTGAAGTATAAGCATATATTAAAAAATTTAGCTAAATACAGATCTGAAAATAATTTTCTTGAACGATCAAAATAATTACATAATATCCATTTCTATCAAGATTAACTTTAATCTCGGTTTAATTTACTTATCATTTTCTAATTCTAAGAAATAGAAAAAAATGAAAGATAAAAGTTAAACCAAGGTTAAAGTTAATCTTTATTGTTAAAAACTAACATGAAATGCTCAAATTGATTATTAGAATGTCAAAATTTTTTAGAATGTCAATATTACTTATTATGAGTGTCCTATAATTATTTAGTCCAATAGAATTATTTTCAGATTTGTATCTCTAACTAAATTTTTAGTGATGTCAGCAAAGTGAATGAAAAGAGTCTACGGACAGTTGCGTGTTTAATTGCGCACAATGCTGGAGCAGAATTACTCGGCACCTTTTCACTCGGGGATGTCGAGAGTTATTCGTCACACGTATTGAATGATCTTTAAGTTATTCTTTACCGGCGAAGAAATTGCACGTCCTTGCGAACGAACTTGAAGCTCTAGTACCAATTAAAATTAAATACGCGAGCGTTTCTTGTTAACAACTTGTGGCATTCTTATTACCGAAGTTCCAGTAACAGTAACACTGGCAATTTTCAGTAATAATTTACTTTAGCGATCTACTGCACGTATCATGCTTTCGTTACGCGTTCCATGTAGATATGCGTGAAGATTGAAAACTCGTTCGAAAATATCGCACTGTGGACTTTCGATTTCGCGCCTTCGATACATGCAAATCTATCACTGCGAAATTGCGATTTATCGATCGCGCATAAAAGCGGTTGTTACATTTCGAAATAAGCTTTTGACATACTATTAAAAATAATTTCTCCACTTTTATGCCGACACCACTAAATGATTCTATTTCTTTATTGATATTCTCTAAATAAATAATTATTTTTTTTATATATTAGAATAAAAGAAACATGCAGAGATATGCATCTTCTCGTAATTATAACTTGTTATTTAAATTAGTCTAAAGATATTTAAATATATTCAAAATGTACCTTATAAAGTTTTAACAATTTAATTTAATTTTTATTTTGTCTTCATTAGAAAACATTTTGCATCAGGCAATATTTCCTTACTTTGGTGAAAATCAAGATTGGAGCATAAGAATGCAAGGAAAGAGTGACAGAAACGTAAACAAAGCTTGTAAGAGACGAAAATTGAGACAATAATGCGTAAAAGAATAAAATGCGCTCTCTCTTTACATTTCACTTACATTCCTACTTTCATTTTTTCCAGAATTATTTTTATATAAAAACTTTTTAAATGAATTTATTAGAACGATAATAATGTCTGTGTATATAAAATTACATCGTATATATGTTTGAAGATTGTTTTTCTTTAACGTGTCTCTTTTTTTATCGTCACACAAATAATTGACTCCAAACGTGCAACGCGCCGTCTGGCAACACGCGCCGACAAATATTTGCGCACATCACCGTGTCGATCCAATGACAGCCAAAGTGGCAGCGATGAACCCCGAAAAAGGTACTCGTTGAATCTCGTCGTGGTGTTGTTTATCAGGATACGACGCATTAACTCCAGCGTCCGCTGACGACGATGACATGGGGAAGCCATTCGTTTTAGCTGATGCACTTACAGTATCCTTAAATTATCCAACATAGGGATAAGAAGAAAACGAAGAGGAGGGAGAAGAAGAGGAACTTACGTCCTTGCGGACTCTGTCATGGAATTGTCGGCTGGCTGCGACCGGGTTCCAATTAAAATAAACGCGTTCACCGCTTTTCTTGTCACCGTTCCAAGCAACGACCGGGATTGAAGCCACCTCGTCACCTGATGCTTCTCTGCACGGCCGAAGACGATTCTTCCACCGTCGTCGACTGCGTCGCAGTTCTCTTCTTGGTCCGTTTACTCCGCGCGAGTCATCCGCTCCTCCGCGTCCGCAAGACGCTCCACGCGAGTCATTCTCTTCGGCGTTGTTCTCCTTGGAGTCATTCCTCTCATCGTTGTTCTCCTTGAATCAGACTCTTCTTCGTCATCATCATCATCATTTTCTTCGGTGTAGTTGGATATCATACTCTCTTTGCGCGTTCCGTTTGTTTCCCACTTTCTGTTATTATTCGTATTACTTAGTCTTCAAGATGAGATAGAGATAACGATAAAAACATTACGCGTTTATACGGCCAGTGTGATGAATAAGTCGCTTGCTGCTCTGTTAAATACATTTATATGTATATAAAACACATATAAGAAAAAGAATTGTTAGAATTTTATTGCATAAAGAAAAAAAAGTGGTAAATAATTAAACTTAGATCAAAATTAAAACTAAAATTAAAAATTCAAATCTTTTTCTTATTTTTTCCTTCGAATTATTTAAAATTAATTTTAATGTAATTACACAGTTGGATGTCGCGCTTTCATTCTACGTTCTCGGTCCGTTTCCCACTTTCTGCTTATCATTCATATTCCTTATTTTTCAAGATAAGATGGGAATAATGATAAAAAAAAATATTGTATGTTTATACAATATGGCTAACGCAGTGTAATAATTAGGAAACCGCTCGCTGCATTGTTAAATAAATGCATTGTATAACACACAAATGCAGAGAAAATAATGATTAGAATTTTATTGTACAAATGAATTTAAAGAAAGTGGTAAATAATTGAGTTAAAATTAAATCCAAATTAAAATTAAAATTTGATTAAAAATTAAAATGAATCTTTTAAATTTGCTTTTCGAATTATTTATAATTAATTTTAATATAATTAACACGCGAGTATTGTGAAGAGTACTATTATTGGTCGCAAGTTTTTTGCGTCAAGATTGACGTTATAACGTGCTATGAAAGCACACTGGTCCAAGGAGATTAGTCTGTCTCTAGCCACGTTTCTTAGATCAGTCACGGAGGATCAGCTGAGTTGCGCGGCCGTTTGTGTCCGCGAATGGACGCAATTTCCGAGAGGTTGCCTCCGTCGAGCAAAAAGTTTGAAAGATCTGGCCGCGTGTCGTGTGTGCGTCGTGTCGACCGAGCGGCCGCGCAGCAACGTCAGAAGTCAATGCCAGGAGTGTCGTTAACCTTCTTCGCGGCAACATATGGCATATATCCTGACGAGGGGGCATATAATGAAGAAGACACCGAGCGCTGAAGAGACAGGAGAATCCGTCGCGACGTTTGAAGCCGGTAATGGTTAAAGAATGCTCGGCAGTGTCTGAGCTGTGTCTATGATTATTGGCTAATCGAATTGCACTTTTTGCTCCTTCAGATATTAAGATATTAAGAAATTTGAGGAACGTGTTATAAAACAGGGAATTCGAAATGTTACACAAAAAATAAATAGATAGATACATAATTTGTAAAAAACGGTTTGCCGAAACATTTAAAAATTTAGCTGAGAAAAGATACCTAAAAATTTATGATATTTATAATTAATTTGTGAGATATAATTTGCTTCATTGAAATAAATTTTTATTTAAATACTACGTAATAAAAATTTATTCCTAATAATACCTATTTTATTTTTGCGATTAATTAGATATATTTTACTAAAATGTATATTTTGTCATCACAGTCAACTATTTTTGTAACCAATAAATATCGACCTTTATAAATATCGACAAATATTTCGACCTTTTTCTCAGTGTAGATAATTTCGAAAATGATTACGTAGAACGCTCCAACTGATTGTTAGAATGTTAAAACTTTTTACAGCATTGCTCATCACATGCTTGAATTTCTTCTTTTTTAAAGAAATCTGATTTTGATGAATTTAATAGATTCTCGAAATTATTTATTTTGAATATTAAAAACACTGAACAACAGTGCTTTTAATACTTAAAATAAGCAATTAATCGTTATTTTCCAGTATTAAATATCTATAAGGGCTACGTAATGATGGTTCAACAAAATTATTTTCAGATCTGTATTTATTTTTTTAGATACTTCAGCAAAATCGTTCTTTCCGTGTAGACTTTAATTAGAAACGATTTTCTCTCGAGGTGACTCTTCGATCAACAACGAATCAATCTCTCTTCTTAGTTGAAGACATCAACGCTTCCCCGATGACGAAATTATCTCCTTTTTTCGCGGAATCGATTCGACTTTGAGATTTCGTGTGCGTGTGAGCCTCGCGTTATAACGTCTATATGGAAAGAAGCTGCACGCGCGGAATATTGACGAAGGGTCGGGATGGAATAATCAGCCACGGATTCTGGGTTCCTCTCGCGATCACTCAGACATAAATATATCATGTCGTTATCTCAGCCGGTTGCAGCATACGATGACGATGATGCGTTCAAGATAGCGAATGGCCGACATGTCGTGCCTGATGACCTGCAGACGTCGCGTCAGGTGGCCCTACTGCAGACGTCGCGTCAAGTGTCATTTAAATACATGAAGCTGAGAAATGGGATCCTTATATCTTTAACAGAATGCAAACGCGTTGTGTCGATTACAAATTTGCCAATTTTCCGCATTCATTCGCTCTTTCACAACGTAAAGTAGCGACTTTACTCTCTAAATCTAAGTCAGTGGATAATCACTGATATTAGTGCCAAGTATGCCACTGGTAATCAGTAAATTAAATATGAGATCCCTAACCTAGCTAATTTTTATTATATGATCTACTAACCTTGTTTTAGTGCTTAAATTTAATGAATACGGTATTGGAAGATTGAAATTAACGTTCAAATAATATTTTAGTTATATAATGTTCAAACATTCTTCCTTTTTTAGTTGAACTTCACTGATTATCAGTGTTAAGTATGCCTGGATAATTAGTGACTATCCACTGATTCAGATTTAGAGAATACAGTTTGGACAGAAATTATAGTTAAATTATCATGAGTTAAATTATAATTAAATTATGAATAATAAGAAACCATTTTTTTTCTCTCAATGTGCACCTCGCAATTGCGATATATCTTGTATGCGTGCAACGATTTCCTCATGATTATTACTTCGCGACGAAGTCTGGTTATTTTTCAAGCGAACTTCAACTTCGGGGAAAAGCACGCCCTTTGATGGCATGTCTCGTGTTGGTTCCGAGTGAAGCATCGCAGGATGCACCGCGTGGCTGCACCTGCAGCGCGTCCCGCATATAGGCAGATGTATGCGCTATGTCGTAAACATTTACTTTCTGCAGAAGCCGCCGGCTCCTGTCATAGACGTATATTAATGCTGGTGGATTCTGAACGTGTGATATCTAACCCGAGGCGAAATGATTCAGCGGAGAATTAATTCGCGCTCTTCTGAAGCACTAGAAACTTTTTAACGACACAGTGTGAAACGCACAATATTTCTTTGCATGCCACATGCTTGAGATATAAAGTCGTGAAATGAATCATAGATCAAATACGCTAAACGATTCAACAAGAATTTTTTATTATCTCAATCAGTCAGCTATTGTTGAAACTCATGCATCTTATTTTTATTATCATTATGATATGTATTATTAATGGAGCTAAAATAAATTGAGATAAGATACGTTTTATTACATATAATATTGAGGTGCGATAAATAGAGACTGCGTATATAATTATAAATAATATACGCGTTCTTATAACAAAAATGGCCTGATCGTTGTATTGACGCATTTGTTTTGCGAGATATTAATTTGAGCTAAGAGAAAATGTTTCCCGCGTCAATCATATTACACGTGCTCGTGACGCTACGTCTAACTATTTATGCACTCGAGTGCATCGTCTTGCAGCGCAGCCTTGAACGATCAGCGAAGGCCAAGGTATACATATGGCGTCGGGGCGCTAAAAAAATTTGTGCATCGAGCGGTAGGCTCGGTTCACCGGCCGCGATAATTAGTAGTTCGTTGATTTTTCCAGAGAGACATAACTCATCATCCGTTAACGTAGGCTACTCGCTAAGGCTCCGTGGAAAAAGAGATAAAGGAGAAAGAATACGCTGAACGCGTGCACAGGGAAGCTCCGTCATTTTCTGCGCGATTTCCCAAACAAATTACACGGTGCACGCTAGACCCCGTCGTCCAACTTAGAACCTGCAATTTATCCCGGAGATCTATGCATCTTCTTCCGAGGAGGAGATAGGGCAGCGCGCCGTTATTATCTTCCGTTGTGATGAGGCATTTTCTTGGAAAAGGAAATCATACAGGCGAATGGCGCAGTTTTGTCTTGGAAAAGCGGAAATTTCTTGTTTATATTATCTAACTTGTAGCTTTCTGTCGAGAGAATTATGATATAAATATGAAAGAGAACTGAGAAAATCTCACGCGAAAGGAATGGCCAGTGTGAGACGAGATTGGAAAGATCTCACGTGAAAAAAAGATACGAAGGGAAAGAAACTTGAGGGAAATCGGGAAGTCATCTAGAAAAATCTTGTAGTGATTTGAGAATTTCATGTAAATTTGATTGTTCGATGAAGTTTTCTCTCATTCGTGGTAGAAGGAGGGTTAATTATTGCGAAGTGATTTAATGTTAGCTAAAGAAAAAGACTCGTGTATATGAATGTATTTTTTATTATAAAGATTAGATAACACGATCGAGAGAAGTTCGATAAAAAGATGATTGATAAAAACAGAAGCAAAGTCTGTTCACCGGCAAAAGAAGTCCGGACTCCGTGCTTAACTCTTTAATTTTCGCTAAATTTGGGAATTTCATGTAAATTTGATTGTTCGATGAAGTTTTCTCTCATTCGTGATAGAAGGAGTGTTAATTATTGCGAGGTGATTTAATGTTAGCTGAAGGAAAAAAACTCGTGTATATAAATGTATTTTTTATCATAAAGATTAGATAACACGATCGAGAGAAGTTCGATAAAAAAATGATTGATAAAAACAGAAGCAAAGTCTGTTCACCGGCAAAAGAAGTCTGGACTCCGTGCTTAACTCTTTAATTTTCGCTGCAGTTAAACGTAACAGCTATCATGCTTTGATGTCGATATCTGCCGTGCGTGTATCTACCTACGCGTCTACACGTCTTGAAGTACAATTTGCATAATTACACATGCACGTGGGCAGAAGTATGTAAACGACGTAACAATTTTCGAGAGCTTTGAGTGCTGCCGCTGCTTTTTATTGAAAAAAAAAGGGAAGAAGCTTATTACTTCGCCTTGAAAAAAAAAACAAGATAATAACAAGATATGAAGGGATTCCTTTTGGAATCGAGCTGCAATCCCTACAAGGATCCGCACAGTCATTTGGGCTTAGCATTTGCTAAACTCACGAAGCTTAATACATTTATGCTACATTTACACATTATAAACATGCATATACAGCACATATTTTTATAAGCAATAGTGAAATAAACATTTGAGGAAAAGTGGAAGCAGAATACATGAAAAGAGAATAATTTCATTGAAGATATGATCAACCATATCGCGCGATTAGTAGTCCTTTCATTAATTCTCTTTATATTCTCCTACATTTCAAACATTTTTAATTAAAATATTTAGTCGCAAGAGTGACTTGCATGAAAATCGATTGTTCAAGAAGAAGCTCGAAGTAGCGATCGTACATTTTCCAGCTAACACATGTGATTGTTATGAGGTACACACGCGTGCGCAGTGCGTACGTACGCGTGATTAAGAGTCGTATTAAAGCAATACCGAATTACTAGAAACTTATATCGCGAGCGGTTCTTATTATTTACGCGCACCTTCGTCGCGCTCTCTTATGAATATCTCGCAGCGAGACGCAGCTGCGCTCCGACGCATTAATGCAGATACGTCATGCGGCGCGGGATCATCAAGGTGTATCGAGTGTCTAGAGTGCACTCTCTGCAGGTAGCAACGTTGACAGACGGTGAGTTACATTGCAATGGAAAAATCAAATTTAACTGTCCGGGCTCGACGATTAAATCTTTGAGAATTTATTTCGTCACAAAATCACAACACGTCCAATCGAACTGCTTCAGGGAACGCAGTAATAATGATAAATAACATTTATAAAAGGAACGTAATAAAATTTTATATATATTATAATTTAATATTTAATAATATTTAAGAAAAAAATAGTAATAATAATTTATTTATGGTTATATCTCTTCCTCGTCTTCTCTCATTTTATTTGAATATTTGACAATTGAATTGATCATATAACTTTATTTTTACATCGAGAGAACGATTTTGCTGAAGTATATTTAAAAATGTAGATAGATATAGATCTGAAATTAATTTTGTTACACTATCAAAATTATGCAGAGACGCTCAAACTC